TCCTTTTCTTTTCTTTTCTTTTCTTTTTTCTTTCCTTGTATATAAATATAATATTATTAGTGATTGAGTAACCCTCACTCAACTCAACTCACTCGCTCACTCTTTTCTCTTTAAAGTGTGTTTTGTTAGTAAATTATTCCTATGGACATTGCCTTTGATATTTACACCGCGGTGCTGCCGGTGAACCGCGACTCTCTGCGAGATCAGTTGTTTATATTTTGGTTTATTCTCGCCAGTGGTGGGGTGATGCTCTATCTCACCTTCGCCTCTCTCTCGACTTTTATTTTCTTCTTTGAGTTCGAGGCGACTTATTTCCCCCGCACAATTCCCAAAGATGGACATAAGGCGGAATTATGGAGACAAATTAAACATGAAATATTTATTTCTGTTCTTTCTATTCCATTCATTGCGGTATTAATGGCCCCTGCGGCGGTTCTTGTACATCGCGGATACAGTCGAATGTATTATAATGTGGAGGATTATGGATGGGGATATTTATTCTTCAGTGTGTTGCTTTTCTTTTCCTTTACGGATTGTTTGGTGTATTGGTTTCACCGCGGCCTGCATCACCCCACACTTTACCGTTATTTACATAAACTCCATCATTCTTATAAATACACTACGCCTTTCTCTTCCCATGCGTTTAATCCATGTGATGGGTTTGGACAGGGCGTTCCCTACTACACCTTTGTCTTTCTCTTTCCCATGCATCATTATCTTTTTATTCTTCTCTTCCTGGCGGTGAATATGTGGACGATTTCTATTCACGATCAGGTGGACTTTGGCGGGCACTTTCTCAACACCACCGGGCACCACACCATTCACCACGAGCAGTTTAATTACGATTACGGGCAGTACTTCACGGTGTGGGATCGCATTGCGGGAACGTACAAACCAGCACAGCAAACACATCGTCTGCCTCTCTTTCAGAAGGCCGGACGCGTAGAGGAGGGAAAGGAATGTAAGAAATTAGGATAGAGAGAGAAGGAAATAAAAGAAAAGATGGGGATGGGGATGGGGATGGGGATGGGGATGGGGTTTCTCATATGAAAATGAAAAAAAAAAAAAAAAGAAGAAGCAAACTCGAGAAGAAAAAAATAAAAAAAAAAAAAGGAGACTGTCAAAGAAAGAAATCAAAGAAAAAAAATAAAAAATAAAAAAAAAATAATAAAAAGTAAAGAGATTTATAGTGTGTGTATATGTATGGTCTTCTGATACTCTTATTAAAGGAGGTATATATATATATATATATATTTGGAGGGGGGTGATGGGCATTTATTTCTTGAGATCTTTTAACCCATCGAATGATGTTATTGTGTTGTTTTTTTTTTTTGCCCTCCCCTTTTCCCTTCGTGGAGTTGAGGTTGATCAACAAGTAAATGGTGACAACAACAAATACAATTACAAGAAGAGAAACAAAAGGAAATATATATATATATATATACCCGTCTCTCTGTAATAGTTTATCTTCTTTTTGTTTTGCAAAAAAAAAAAAAGAAAAAGAAAATAAAAAAAGAGATGGAGGAAGAGTGTACATAGATATATACATTTCATTATATATCTTGTGACCGGAAAATCGTATGGAGTGTGGTATGTACAGAGATTCCTGCATTGGTGCGTTTATTTTAATAGTAAGAATAAACTGTAGAAAATAAAGAAAGAAAAGGAAAAGAGATATTTAAAAAAAACTGAGAGGACGATTTTTTTTTTTCCTTTTTCTTTATTCTTATTGTGGTAACCCTACAATAATTCAAATGTTTAGGTAGAAAGTGGAAAGAGAGAGAGAAAGA